AAAAGTGCGCTTTTAAACATTTCCTCTACCAAACTGTAATGCGGATTCCATCTAAACAATACTGGAAGGATTCTTGGTAGAACCCGCAGAAATCGGAAAAATTAAAGCTGGTCTTAACGCTTATATCTGTAAGTATGTATATGTATATATGGTCTATTGAAAACTCCGCCTTATCATTTTGACTTTGTCGACATTTGGCGTGGTTTGACACGTTTAACAAATAATGACGGGGTTTCATACTTTAGATGGTTTCCACGCCTATTGTAGAATGCCAAACTTAGATTTTTTCCAATGTCAGATTTTCCTTTACTGAAAACTCCAAAGCGCAGTTAAATGTTTGATTGACCTAAATTTGAAATGTTGCAGCAGTATCCTTTATATTGGAAACTCTCCTCCTTCCAATTCTTTCCGAGAGTAATGTTTAATAAATCAATATCGTCATATGGTAATCAAAGCAAGAACGTGGAGAACGACGAAGGTAGACGAGAAAACTTAATATTCTCTATGGTCGTCCCAGAAATCAAGCGACGACCGCTCATTATGACTTTCCGAAGAATCGTATCGACCCAGTCGAGTTTCCCTATTTTTTTATCATTATTTATTTGATTTGTTCTATATCAGACAATGTCAGTATTTTAATAAACACAGAATTATCATGACTGATACAATATGTAAAGGTCATCAAAATATCACACTATCCCCGACCCTCACCCCTACCCCAAGAAAATGGTCTCCATTGATACACATGATATAGTTGACAGTATGAAAATTGGGACAAACTTGAAAAAAAAAAAAAAAAAAAAACAGAAAGTAAGAAAAAAAGAAAAATTCCAAAACATGTCTAGTCCTACTTCATTCAAAATCCTTAAATAGGGTGGCCCTGCAGGGTGTTTTAGAAGAAGCAGCCAACCCAATGGAAACAAAGGCTTCTGAATTGATCACTGTGTATAGAAGATTGACCCCCCTATAAAAGGTTTGGCAGTCACTGATTGACCAATATGAAATCCAATATGGAAAGACCTGTTGATATTACTATATAGAGTATCAGAGTAGTTTTCGAAATTACACCAGTAAGTTTCTCAAAGTTCGCTGAACTGCTTTAATTTGATAAATTCGAGTAAAAACCCCAAGTCATGATAACATATTTACTAATTTAAAAGTTTACTCCAACCCTATCATGCCAGTGAACTATATGCATAATTTACATAATATATCACCACATCTTCCCTTCAAAAATTACTGAAATAAGCACTTCAGCTTATTTGACCCCCACTGACCTCTCAAATCAATACAAACCTGACAATTACCTAACGGTCAAGGCTATTTTTGAAACACTGAAAAATTCAAAGATAATAAATTCATGGATTAAAGTCAACAAACTTTGTGAAAAAAGTATGTAAGATCACAGGGGTCAAAGCCTTGGAAGGACAAAAAGAGGCCTTGATCCATATTATTTGGCCAGTTGCTTGCTAGTATGGAGAAATTGGTCAAATTTGTCAAACCATAAAACATAGTAAGTTTTACAAAGTATGACATGTTCCATGAACCATCAGTCAAGAATGATAATTACAACGCTAAAGAAAACATAAACAAACAGACAATATAATATAGATAATGTAAATTTTATAAATCGAAAGCTCTTATTGTGTTGCACAGGATTACTCCATAAGGACTGGTGTACATACAATGTATTAAGAAACAGCTAGCCTTACTTCACAGCTCCTTTACATCAATACAATATTGTGTATATAGCCTTTTATGAATATTCCTAACAGAGTTCCAATATGACAGATATATAACAAGTACATTTATACCTTATTGTATGATAAACTTGCTCTTAGGGATAATGCATACACTTTTACATGAAGAAAACAAGGAAAGAGACAAAACTGATTCTGCGGTAAAATAACCCTATCTTGGACCCTGCAAAAAATAAACATTGTTGGATGTTGCCCTCAAATAGGACTACTCTCCTTATTAAATATAACATCAATACCGATTACATCCCTGTAACCAATGTCCAAATTAATCTGATGTTCTAATGGTTTTATTTTATATATTTGTAGTCAATGTAAAATCTGATAAAATGTCAAAATAAGTCAGACAGCTCTACCTGATATTTCAGACAGCTCTACCTGATATTTCCAGACAGCTCTACCTGATATTTCAGACAGCTCTACCTGATATTTCCAGACAGCTCTACCTGATATTTCCAGACAGCTCTACCTAGACAGCTCTACCTGATATTTCAGACAGCTCTACCTGATACTTCCAGACAGCTCTACCTGATATTTCGGACAGCTCTACCTGATATTTCAGATAGCTATACCTGATATTTCCAGACAGCTCTACCTGATATTTCAGACAGCTCTACCTGATATTTCAGACAGCTTTACCTGATATTTCCAGACAGCTCTACCTGATATTTCAGACAGATCTACCTGGTTTTTCCAGACAGCTCTACCTGATATTTCCAGACATCACTACCTGATATTTCAGACAGCTCTACCTGGTTTTTCCAGACAGCTCTACCTGATATTTCCAGACAGCTCTACCTGATATTTCCAGACAGCTCTACCTGATATTTCCAGACAGCTCTACCTGATATTTCCAGACAGCTCTACCTGATATTTCCAGACAGCTCTACCTGATATTTCAGACAGCTCTACCTGATATTTCAGACAGTTCTACCAGATATTTCCAGACAGCTCTACCTGATATTTCCAGACAGCTCTACCTGATATTTCCAGACAGCTCTACCTGATATTTAAGACAGCTCTACCTGATATTTCCAGACAGCTCTACCTGATATTTCAGACAGTTCTACCTGATATTTCCAGACAGCTCTACCTGATATTTCCAGACAGCTCTACCTGATATTTCAGACAGATCTACCTGATATTTCCAGACAGCTCTACCTGATATTTCAGACAGATCTACCTGATATTTCCAGACAGCTCTACCTGATATTTCAGACAGCTCTACCTGATATTTCAGACAGCTCTACCTGATATTTCAGACAGCTTTACCTGATATTTCAGACAGCTCTACCTGGTTTTTCCAGACAGCTCTACCTGATATTTCCAGACATCTCTACCTGATATTTCAGACAGCTCTACCTGGTTTTTCCAGACAGCTCTACCTGATATTTCAGACAGATCTACCTGATATTTCCAGGCAGCTCTACCTGATATTTTAAAACAGCTCTACCTGATATTTCCAGACAGCTCTACCTGATATTGCAGACAGATCTACCTGATATTTCCAGACAGCTCTACCTGATATTTCAGACAGATCTACCTGATATTTCCAGACAGCTCTACCTGATATTTCAGACAGCTCTACCTGATATTTCAGAACGCTGTACCTGATATTTCCAGACAGCTCTACCTGATATTTCCAGACAGCTCTACCTGATATTTCAGACAGCTCTACCTGATATTTCAGACAGTTATTTCCAGACAGCTCTACCAGCTCTACCTGATATTTCCAGACAGCTCTACCTGATATTTCAGACAGCTCTACCTGATATTTCCAGACAGCTCTACCTGATATTTCAGACAGATCTACCTGATATTTCAGATAGTTATACCTGATATTTCTGACAGCTCTACCTGATATTTCCAGACAGCTCTACCTAGACAGCTCTACCTGATATTTCAGACAGCTCTACCTGATATTTCAGACAGCTCTACCTGATATTTCAGACAGCTCTACCTGATATTTCAGACAGCTTTACCTGATATTTCCAGACAGCTCTACCTGATATTTCAGACAGCTCTACCTGATATTTCAGACAGCTCTACCTGATATTTCCAGACAGCTCTACCTAGACAGCTCTACCTGATATTTCAGACAGTTCTACCTGATATTTCCAGACAACTCTACCTGATATTTCCAGACAGCTCTACCTGATATTTCAGACAATTCTACCTGATATTTCAGACAATTCTACCTGATATTTCCAGACAGCTCTACCTGATATTTCCAAACAGCTCTACCTAATATTTCAGACAGTTCTACCTGATATTTCCAAACAGCTCTACCTAGCTCTACCTGATATTTCCAGACAGCTTTACCTGATATTTCAGACAGTTCTACCTGATATTTCAGACAGCTCTACCTAGCTCTACCTGATATTTCCAGACAGCTCTACCTGATATTTCAGACAGCTCTACATGATATTTTCAGACAACTCTACCTGATATTTCAGACAGCTCTACCTGATATTTCCAGACAGCTCTACCTGATATTTCCAGACAGCTCTACCTGGTTTTTCCAGACAGCTCTACCTGATATTTCCAGACATCTCTACCTGATATTTCAGACAGCTCTACCTGATATTTCAGAATGCTGTACCTGATACTTAAGACAGCTGTATATGATACTTAAGACTGCTGTGCTTGACAATTAATTTGTATTTTGGAGAGTGGTATACATCAAAGTTCATACAAATTCAGGTTTCAATATGGTTGTAAGCTGTAACGAAAGGAGAGTTATCTTTCTTGGACCAACTGACGGTATTAGGTCACTTGCACAATGTATCAATATATTCATAACAAGGTGTGAGGTGAGGGTCAACACTTTCTATCTATTTTAGTTTGTGTTTCTAAACACCAAGAAATGGACAAGTCTGTACCAGGTGGATGTGTCCATTGACAAAACATTTTACTCCAACTGATCTGGATAGCATGTGATTTGCCTTCTGTATGTTGTTTAGAGAGATAGCCACACTCTTAAACAACTCTTAATTACTGTTAAATGGATGACAAACCCAGCAAACCAACCATAACCTGACTTTAACAAAATGTTTTTAATAGCCACACAGACGAAGACTGTCACAGACCACTGATCAAAAAGTTGATGTTTCCAGAGAGAAAGAACACATGCAGAATCAATACACACATAATTTCACCAGGCCTTCAGTGCAGGAGATTTTACAAAGTCCCCCTCCTCCCCCGCCCCTAACATCAGATACATACATGTATATTTATGCTCAATGGGTAATACATTTAGAGGCTGGATATTATGCATTTTCTAAAGTCTTTTTGAACATCTCAAGTACAGGAAGACCATTTACATTCACAAACCTGGGGTTGTAATAATGCATGCTTCAAGTGATTCAAAATATTGTTAATATGAAGTTAAACATTTAACATATGCATTACATTATCCTCCGACACCATCACCTTGACTGGTAGTTCACTATTGGAAGGTGCTGAGTTTGACATCCGTTCATTTCTTTCATGCATTTTGACGTGCCTTCTAACTTTGCCAGACTCAGAAAAACCTTTCCCACATATCTCACAGTTAAATGGTTTTTCTCCAGTATGGACCCGATTGTGTTTCTGTAGTGATCCAGTCTGACTAAATGTTTTACCACATATGTCACACTTATATGGTTTTTCCCCAGTATGCTTACGACGATGAACTTGTAATGTCCATAGCTCTACAAAAGCCTTTTCACAGAGATCACATTTGTGTCGCTTCTCTCCCAAATGCCTTCTTATATGTCTTTGCAGACTGCCAACAGTGTTGAAATCTTTTCCACAAATATCGCACATGAATGGTTTTTCCCCAGTATGTATGTTCATGTGAGTTTTTAAATGTCCGGATTCAGCAAAATCTTTCCCACATATGTTACAACTATATGGTCTCACTCCTGTATGTCTCTTCAGATGCCTTTGCAGACTATGGGAGTCACTAAAAAATTTGTGACATATTTCACATTCAGATTTTTTCTCTCGAAAATGTGTGCGAATATGATTCTTCAAGGTCCCTTTCTCTTTGAATGTTCTTTTACAATAATCACACTCATAAGGCCTAATATTTGAATGTACGATCATATGTCGCTGGAGTTTTCCTGCAGCATCGAACACCTTTTCACATGCAAAACATTTAAAACAATTTTCACCAGTGTGTTTTCCCATATGCACCTGCAGAGTGATAGCATCATTGAAGGACTTTCTGCAGACGTAACATGTGTGCATCTTTATAATAGAATGCATCTCAAGATGTTTTTTGAGCTGTGCAGACCGGGTAAACTCCTTACCACACTTTTCACATTCAAATGGTCGCTCTCCAGTGTGTATCATTGAGTGCCTGCGAAGACTAGCAGCTTCTGTAAAGGTTTTCCCACATAACTCACAATGTGGAGGCCAATTGCCATGATTTTCCATATGTTTTTGCAGGTTTCCAGATTTACTGAAATCTTTCCCACATATGTCACATTTAAATGTTTTCTCAACTGTCTTTGTCCTGTTGATTTCCTGATCATCAGAAACATCATGGATTTCGTTATCATGACATCCATTATTCCTACTTGGTATTTTACTTACATGTATTATGACATGTTGTTGGAGACTAGTGATCTGATTGAATGTCATACCACAGACCTGACAGCCGTGAGTTATCTCAATCTCGTCTTTCTGAATATTTCCATCCATTTCTTCCTCAACACAGATTTTGTACCTAAAATGGGGTTGTTGTTTTGAGTGCACACATGGTGATGACTCTTTAACGTTTCAGTCTCAGAAAAATTCTTACTGTAGAGATGACTAGAATGTGTACTCTGCTATGCTTCTTCTGTTTCCGTGTCTCACAGAATCCTTTCTCTCATGTACCGTACTCGCATTGTCTCTCTAAGGATAGATCCTTATATGATTGAATCTGTAATTTTCCAGACTTGATGAATCCTCTTCCAAAGAACTCACATACATGTGGCATAGTTCTCCAATTTTGATTTCCTTAAACAGAATAACTCTTGAACCTTCTTGCAGTCAAAAGGTCAATATGCCCCTTCATGAGATTTAATGCTGTAGATGGTCCTTCAATGTAAAACATTTTATCAAGTTCTTCCTCGTTCTCTGACTGTACACCTATCAAATATAAACCAAACAAAAATCTGAAAGACAACTTAACAATTCTAATTGATAAAGTTTCAATCAAAATAAAAAAGTTTTTAAAGAGGAAACACTTATAATTGAATGACCAAGATTTTAAATTGGTATGCGAGATTAAGTTATAATAAAGAGTACTGGATTTTTTTGTTTTTCTTCAAAATATAAAACTTTTTACAGTTCTCAATGCAAAAAATTGTGCCTCCCATTAAACTAAAAATTTATTATATACTCAAGATCTCCAGTAAATGAATAAAAACAAGCATGCCATCCCTTTATTAATTTTCAAAAGTTATTGCTATAATTCCTCTGTACCTGCATGTGCTTTGAAAATAGGTCTACTAGTTTGTATATGTAGCTCTAGGAACATCATTAGCTCTTCAAAAGACCTGAAATAGGACATTCAACAGAGTTGCCTCCCTTCCCATATGTGTAACAAATGATGGCCTCGGGCCACATTTAATGTATCAGTATAATCTATAAAAGTTAAAAAGACAAAAACGTTTTTAAACTTTGCAAAGGATTGGGTTCCTACACAATATATCTATTCAAGAGGTTCATATTGTTAGCTGGAAAGTACTTCATTACCTGCATTTAAGAGAAAAATATTTTAATTTGAATATCACTACCCTTCAAAAGTTTTGGGATGTACCCAATCTGATTAAAAATCAAAATGCAGATACTAAATCCTACTACGTTCCTCTTCGCTTTAGGATCTGACAATATGCCATAAGGGGGTCATGTCCAGGTGACCTTTGCACCCTTTGAACTTCATTCAAAGCGAATGGTAATTTTTATCACAGCATGTAGGTACATAGGTCAATCTAATAAAACAGTCAGATTTTATCTCTCACTCCATAACTCTTTGTGGTGGGGTGAAAAAAAGAAACAGCATTTTAATCAGATTGATATATAGATATGCTTTAGCTAAGGGCGACATGTTCAGATGAAATGACTTTATACGCAATTGAATTACACAAGCCGTTTCGCCCACCTACATTTACTTTCAAGATGCAGTATGGGGTAATTTGACTGGCTTATGGAAAAGTTCCACCCAACATGGTCCCTTTATTTTAGGATGTTATCTGATATTAAAAATGGTTTGCAGAATAAATATAAATATGGATTGATCATTTGGAGTTTGACTATGTAACATTCCTAAACCAGTAGAGCAATTTTTACAAGATTTCGTTTGTTATTTGCTTTACTTATAAATACAATTGTAAATAGATACAGTATACTCTACCTAAGTCTATAGTTGAATGTAGATACACAAACTACATTATACCGTAGTTATGCTTTGTTTAGTCCGACTTATCTGTTTCCAAAACTATAAAGCTACGCTCTTTTCAACGTTTTGCCTTTTACTATACACTAATCACTATATGTACTAGGCAATTGACATCTGTATCTGGAATGTAAACAAACAGAGCAAAAATAAAGTATGCACCATGCTTGTTTACTCTTTCGTGACAAGGCTAAGTAAGCTGGTGATGTTTGGAGTAGCGTTAGCAGCAGAGAATACGTAGCTAGGCATATATCATTTGTTTCTCTTTTGTTTCGACATACCTACGAAGTTATCTCCGGGTGACTAATTTTCGATTTGTGTACTGTCTCTTTTTGCGGCAAGATTTCTTTCCTTCCTTATCAACTTCCGTATTTGATAGGGGAGATAACTCCAACATACACAATGGATGCTAGGAAAACACACAATCTACGCGCCACATAATTCATTTAAACATACAATCACTTTTTGGTTTATGAGGTTAAATATATGCACAGCACATTTCATTTTTTAATTAGAAGTACGGCACGGTTCAAAATGCATACATTTATGGTTTCTTATTATTTGTTTTTAAAACATAGTATCACTGGTGAGCCCTAATCTAGAGGGTCAAAACAATGCGATGTAGTTTCATGTATTAAATGACTTCGATATATCCGTTCTTATTTATAATTTATAATCAAAGGTGTTACAATTGTATACGCTTGATTGTGTCTTTTTTTTACAATCCGGACGTGTTTGTGATATATTTGAAGGGGATAGGAAAGCGCGCCATCGAAAAATATCGAATGTTGAATTTCATCGGATAGGTAAACAAGTATGTCTTTATGGGTCCTAGGCTCCGGATTACACGCACTCAAATTGTCATCAACAAATTATTTGTTCAACGGTTACAGCTCTTTCATCTATTTTTATACTGTAACATCTGTCGGTATACCACATCTAATCTTTATACTGTAATATCTGTCGGTATACCACATCTAACATTTATACTGTAATATCTGTCGGTACATCACATCTTAACTTGATACTGTAATATCTGTCGGTATACCACATCTAAACTTTATACTGTAATATCTGTCGGTATATCACATCTAATATTTATACTGTAATATCTGTCGGTATACCACATCTAAACTTTATACTGTAATATCTGTCGGTATACCACATCTAATCTTTATACTGTAATATCTGTCGGTACATCACATCTAATATTTATACTGTAATATCTGTCGGTATACCACATCTAATATTTATACTGTAATATCTGTCGGTACATCACATCTTAACTTGATACTGTAATATCTGTCAGTACATCACATCTAATCTTTATACTGTAATATCTGTCGGTACATCACATCTAATATTTATACTGTAATATCTGTCGGTACATCACATCTTAACTTGATACTGTAATATCTGTCAGTACATCACATCTAATCTTTATACTGTAATATCTGTCGGTACATCACATCTAATATTTATACTGTAATATCTGTCGGTACATCACATATAATATTTATACTGTAATATCTGTCGGTACATCACATCTAATCTTTATACTGTAATATCTGTCGGTATACCACATCTAATCTTTATACTGTAATATCTGTCGGTATATCACATCTAATGTTTATACTGTAATATCTGTCGGTATACCACATCTAATATTTATACTGTAATATCTGTCGGTATATCACATCTAATATTTATACTGTAATATCTGTCGGTACATCACATCTAATCTTTATACTGTAATATCTGTCGGTATACCACATCTAATATTTATACTGTAATATCTGTCGGTACATCACATCAAATATTTATACTGTAATATCTGTCAGTACATCATATATAAATACCAGCTTTACAATGTCCTCGCCTTTTACTTGATGCCAGCACATGGCCGATTGGTCTGCCGCCTACGCATGTAGATTGTTACGTTGTGAATTATCTTTCATATTTTACTCATACGACCCATCCCCTCCCCCGCATATTTTCACACACGCACAAAAAAATAACATACACAATTCCTAAGATCTACTGGTAATTTATTAAAACGTTGAATTCAATTCTTTGCTAAAACGTCGGTCGGCTCAATATCGAATCATAATGTTCGGGCGAGCGTTTTCCTGTTGCAACGTGGCGTGGGGTTACGTTGCTGCGCAGATGGAAGGCTGTGAGACTGCATGATTTCGTCACGATATCTGATGCCTTTAAGTGTGCCCTCCACAACCACAAGAGCTGCTCTGTCACGGAATGAGATACCATCCCACACCATGACACTACCTTCGCCAAATGGACGTCGTTTGATAACACAACTGTCATCGAAATGTTCAGCAAAACGACGATACACTCTAGAACTACCGTCACTGCTGTCGAGATGAAACCTAGACTCGTCGTGAAAAGAGCATGTGCCCCAGTTCTGCCGCGTGAAATGTATACGTCATATACACCAGGCTAAACGTTCTACACGATGACGTTGTTGGAGAACAGGACGTATGACTGGCCATCATGGACGTACGCCTCGTTCAAACAGTCAATTACGTACCGATCGGGAACTAATTCTTCTAAGGTCAGAAGAGACTAATTTGATTGCGATTGACTATTGGCCAAAAAAGAACGTGAACACGATGACGTGGGCTAGAAAGACAAATTACCCGTGCAACACATGAACTGAGACAAACACAACTTACCTGTGTAAATTCCAACCTTTAATGAATCGAACTGAGCAATACATAAACATTTTACACATGAAAAGTTTCTTTTTTCCGCTGGAATATTTTTAGCATGGAGGTCTCAAGTGACCACAATTTAATTATACAATCGAGAGACAATTGATTCCACATGGACTACGAGGTAACTGGCAGATGTCAAGGACCAGTGCATCTTAAGACAACAGGTGAAACTGACAGTCTGAGTCGGATAAATTGCATAATAGAATAAAAATTAAACAAGAATTCCCTATAGTTTTCATCTTTTCAGCTGAATCGTTGGTATATATCAATATATAGTCATGTCAGGTCAGTGAGCTTTGCCATTTCGGACGGGACCTTATTGCAGTTAATCAGCTTTCTACACTTGTATTCGTTCCTTGTTAAAGTCTAAATTGTTTAATTCACTGTTTATTGTATTCTCATAAAGTATATTACAATGAAAATTATCATGGCGTTATCCCCCCTCTCTTGACCAGCAATAAGTCACAATGGTAAAGAGGTATGGCATATAACAGTCATCGATCAATGATGAAATGGAAAAATATTTTCTTTTCCTACAAATTCAGAAGTTGATTTGATGTTAAATTAAAAATCTAATCAACAATAGACAGATATGTTAAGAATATCTCACGTGTTGTTTTAAACAGATCGCCAAAGTCGCTATGCTTTCTTGAGAAGTTTAGAATGAAACATGGAGATTCTCTCGGCTTCAAAACGCTACGGCAAACACATGTACTTACTTCTTTGTTGCTTAACCTTAATGTTATTAATCTATACGGTTTAAAACAGCCCATAAAAGAACCGACAAGAATAACCGAAAACACGAAATCATTAATTGATCATATTTTGTGTAATGTTCCAGAAAAAGTCTGTCAAGCTGGAGTGATCCCTATTGGTTTAAGTGATCACTTCCTGACATTTTGCACAAGAAAAATTAGAAAGTCTACTTTTCACGAACATAATAACATAAAAAAGATCTTCTAAATGCTATGATAAAGATGCTTTCAAGCAATTACTAATTAATGCAAATTGGGAACATTTCTTTCACGCAAAAGATGTTAACGAATGTTGGAAAAGGTTTCATTCTATCTTCTCCAACATATTAAACAAAGTAGCACCATTCAAAGAAGTTCGTTTGAAACAAAAAACGAAACCTTGGATAACAAATGAAATCTAAGAAAACATTAAAGTGCGAGATAAGATAAGAAAATCTTTAAAAAAGTTTGGCAAAGAAGAAGATTATACATGTACAAAAAACTCCGAAATCGTGTTCAAACATTATGTAAAATAGCTAGATCCGAATTTTTCAACAAG